AACGCTTCAAAATGGTGGTTCTATCGTACCTGTGGATGCGAAGCATTGTTTTCTTCGGTAGAAGTACCGGTAAGTGCTGCTGCTTGAGCAGCTGCAGCCGCAACAGCCGAGGGAGGAGGGGCATAGTAACTGCAAATAACTCAGCAAGAGATGAGAATTTAGAGTTTCTGAAAAAACATACCCTGCAGGCCAATTCGCCCGAGCAGGCGCGGTGTGGCTAGTACCAGTAGTCGCATTTAGGAATGATGATGCAGCAGACACTACAGCCGCGGAAACTGAGAAGTAAAAAGATCACAAACGTAGATTGAAGAGAAGAATTACGAGCCTACCTGATCGATCCGCCTTCTGTGAGTTCTTTGCATCGACCTTGAGGCCTTTCATGGATCTGATACCCACCATTCCTTGCTTATTGAGGTCTAAAAATTCCCTCTCATCTTTTACTTGCGGTTCAGCCTCCTTCCTCGTATCGCTTTCATCTAATTTCTGATCCCGCTGCTCCTCTTTATCTTTTTCCTTCAACCTCTCTCGCTCTTCTAGCCAGTATAGTTCAGCCGTGCCGCCAGCTTGAACGTCCATCTGCATTTTAAACAAGGTCAGCGAGCAGTTTCGCCTGTTCCCACTTACATTTTCCTTGCGATCCGTATCAGAACTCTCCATATCATTTTGCCTATCATTTTGCAAAGATGTCGATGGAGGGGCCTTAAGAAAATGCTGTGTTAGAATGTAGGAAACAACACAACAAAGTAATTCTTACCATAAGATCAATTTCAAATTTCGCCGGCCTGTTTTCGCCAGATGAAAACTTCCTGCAGAATAACATAAGCAGATTAAAAAAACAATAGCGTGAGAAAACACATACCGCTTATTCAGATCCGCATTAGCGTTCGTTACTGTTTCGGCACTCTTTCGCTCGGCCAAGCTCGTCTTCACCTCAGGTGCGATGTCAGCCTTCTTCAATTCAGTATCACAAGGCTCAGCAGCTTGAGCCGACGCCGATACCGGGGTCCCTGCAAGACTTGGAGCAGAAGTGCCGGTTAACTTGGAAAAGTTATCGGTTTTCCTCTCGTTCCGAGCTCCTTGCTCATGTTCCCTGCCCAGTGAAACAACCCCCACGCGCCCTCCAGGTGCCGAGCCTCCTTCATCCGATCGTGGCCTTATGCGAGGCCGTTTTCTTCGAGGTGCTGAAACAGAGCATGCTGTACTTAAGTCCTCAGATTTTTGCACACGAGAAAATAACGACGTACCTTCAGCAGGGTGTGATGTTACATTATTGAGAGAGGGAGGGGATAAAGGAGTTCCAGGCTGAGCGGGGGAGGACGCGGCTTTAGCAGGAGAAGCGGAAACTTTATCCAACTTCGCTTCCGCCCGAGAATCCATCTTGTTCTCGCTCTTTTGGAAATTAGGCACCATTCTAGCCAAATCGAATAGAGCCTCGGCAACTTCGACCTCCTGCTCGGATATTGGAGCAGGCGAGGACTGTAGAAACAAAGATGACTGGGAATCAATCCAGAAGCCAAGCCGCTAGAGGAGCCATTTCTTACCTTCGGTGCTTTTGCTGGCCGTGGTTTTGACCCATTTGGTTTCTGCACAACACGTCTGACAGCGTTAGACCCCCTGACAGCCCAGAAAGTAGATCTTCACGGGAGAGTAAAATTTCGACCATACCATTCGACGGCCGGGCTTCCCAGCTCCGCCACTCGTATACGTAGAAGAAGGAATGTTAGGAGTTGCCGTGGGAGAGGAAGAGTGATGGGATGTGGCATTTGGCAGCTGTGGAGACTCGTGGTGTCGCTTCACGATTGCTGTGCAGAGCAAAACAAGAGAAGATCATCAGCCACTGCCCAGCAAACGGATCAAAGCTCCTACCAGAGCGAGCTTTACGAGGAACCGCTGGAAGATCTAATCCAATGCCCTCTTCCTGCCAAAAAAGGATCCGTCGTGAGCAAAGCAAAAGAGCGGCAGAGCGTCCACTTCTCTCCACACCTTGGAGCTCGGCCTTGGCTTCCCAGGCCACCGAGGAATAGTTGGAGGAGGGGGATCATCGTCCTCTTCGGTCGCTCCATCCGTGTCATCCGAGCTCTCCTCCGCCTCATCCACCGCGCTGGGCGCCGGCGCCTCTTGCCGCTTTCGCTTGTTCCGCAGCGTTGCTCCAGAGGAGACGACCGACACTAGGCTGTCCTTCTTGATCCTCTCGCGCAGCCTGGAATTGTGGACCTCGTCTATCATTTCGTCGTCGTCATGAACTGCGAGAAGATCGATTTCCCAGTTAGATGGAACCCAAATTGTACCGCATCGCGCAAGCAAGCCACAGATCTATCGATGGAGGCCATCGAACAGAGAAGCACGCTAAATGCTGCACGATCTCTCTAAACAAATTCAAGGCATCGAGTCAGTGCCAAAGAGGCAAGAAAGCAAACGAGAGAAGAAGAATGGCAAGAACACACAAAGGATTTGCAGCCAAAATTGCCCATTGCCAGGAATGGCTTTCCTGACCTGGAGAGTCTTTGAAGCCAGTCGTGCGAGGCCGCCGAGGGGCAGAAACTGGGCCACTACTGCCTGTTCTTCGCCCTTCTCTTGCTCTGTCCATCATAGCGCTTGAATCTAAGGAGGACGAAAAAGAAGAAGAAAAAAAACTAGCCCCCGTCAAAACTGAAGAACCGGTGGCCAAGAACACCGCAAGAAGAGATGCATCGGCGAACTCTCTCCCTTTTCTGGAATTCCTTCACCGCTGCCAGGACGCCCTCTGGACATGGAAGCCATGCCGATTTGCCGTCACAATCTCCCCATGAATTCGCTTCCAATCTTTTTCCTCCCTGAAAATTTCGAGGCCGACGAATGCTTTCGAGGCCCGGTGGAGGAAATCCGTCAAGAAACTGAATTAGCCCCTGCCAATGCTCCTCATCGCGGCAGAGAATCCCCTGGCTGGCCCCGAAAGAAAAGAATTCCACACCATGCGGCGACAAGAAGCAAGAAACTGGAGAGAATATCAACAAGAAGCTTCCGATGGAGGCGTGCCGCCGCTGCTGCCGCCGGATCCAAGCCTCGCCAATTCGGGGCCTTAGCAGCGAGCACTCTGCCGCTCGCTCCTCCCCGCTACAAATCTCGAATCGCTCGCTGGCGCTGCTGCTGATGCGCCGAGATTCACAGATCAAACCCTAGCGCGCCGATGCCTGCCAGAGATTGATGCTTCCCCAGGACGCTCTTGATCAAGAGATTCCTAACCTAGGAGGAGAATGAATGAATGGGGAGAGAAGGCGGAGGGAGAAGAGAAATGAGAGATGAGTGGGCTACACAACACAAAACCAAGCGCAGCCCAAGGCAAACAAAGAGCGGAGGAGAGAAAGACCCCCCACACACACACACACACACTGGTCTGCCATGCCAGGTCTGGCGGTGCTGGACGTGACCCGGTTCGGAACAGCCTCGTGACCAGCTCCGGTAACAAGGTTCGGCTCTACCCACACCTAAAAGGAGAACCTCCCTTGTACGGATAAACGCGTACGGTTATGCTGGGTAAATGTCCCTCGGGCCTCCAAAGATCACGCTTTTACCTGATGTTGGAGTAATAAGGCGCAAGGTTTTTGGTGTTACTCTGTAAATGCCCAAGGAGCAAAGGCCACGTGTACAAATAGGGAATTGATATGCAAGGAAGAAATTTTTTTGACAATGAGTGCTTGCCCAACAAAACAAGATTTCTACCTAATTGCAGTAGCTACCAGCTGAAATTTAAAAAACAAATCCATGTAGCAGACAATATTGACAAAATGCCCCATCCATCCATGCCAGGCCCCGGGGTTAAAGTGAAGGGAAAAAAAAAGAATCCTCGCGAGGAAACGACAGGTGGCCACATCCCATGCGCTCTTTTTATTTTGTAAAAACCGGTCAATAGAACTGTTTCAAAATTCCGGTAGATAAAAGTAGCATCCACCGTCCGCCTTCCGCCACGTAAGATCCACATCGGCCGCTAGGTCCGGCGCCGAGCCTCCACCCCTGGTAGTTAAAAACTAAGCACGGGTTTAGAAGCCACGTGCGAGGGCGCGCGCCTTGGGCCGTCCACTTGGCAGCAATCGAAACCGCTCAATCGGCCAATTCATAAAAGTAACTGTATCTTGTTCGACTCAAGAGGTGTGCCGTCAATGTCTTTCGTATTTTTGAAGCTTATAGGGAGAACTCCCCCCATCCGTACTTGCTAAATTCCTTCATCTCGAGGCGTACGACATTGTGTCATCCGTGATATGGTGGGCCACGAGCCTTGGCGTGAATGAGATCAATGGAAGGCCTGAGGGAACTCAAGTCAATTTCCACAAGGCAAGCGGATATACCTATAAAAGCTATAGCATATGAATACATGAATTACCATGAGGAAAAGAACAATGCTTGAGATCAAGATCGATACGGTGCCAGCTCTTGCACTTTTCCGGTGGAGATAGAGAGAGAGTGAAGGAATCTTAAGAGAATCTGGGGGATGCTTGTGGATGGATGGGTCGTCCATGAGATCCGAACTCGGAGTGGGAGAAAGCGTGGCTCACCTGGGACCCACCACATTTTCCTTTTCACTTAAAATCTAACGGTGACTCCCTGCCCAATTTGCTGCCGTCTGATGCCGCCCCCGTGGACGGCGCAGATGTGTCCATGTCAGCCAGCCACTTCTCAGATCGGCGGTTTTAATATTTCCACGCTACGTCCGTCAAAAGTGGCCACGAACCCGATTAGTAACCAGATGCAGGGCCTGGCAGCCGTCGGATCCGGGGCTTGGATGGCCCAGATGTCTCGCTCCGCGTGTAGATGAGGTCACAAGCCCGGGCCTCATTGTCCATGCGTCCGGACCTCGGAAAAGATCTCTGGGTCTCCAGCTAGGTCCGGAACCGGGGCTGCGTATGTAATCGACATCCCTGCGTGCTACATTGCGTCGAAATCGTTGCGGCTGATTTGGCTGTCTCTACGCCAATTGCACTGGTGAGTATATTTTTTCTCCTTTTGCTGTCTGGCAAGGTGTTCAAGACCAGGGAGAAAAAGAATCCCGTCATCCTTTAGTGCTTAAAAACCTTTACTCTTTTTTATAACCAAACAATGTGATATGGTCTCTGATTCCCTTGATCGCTTCAAAAGGTGGTGTTGGAGTCTTAAGGGAAACATAATGTACAAAGATAAGATTAGTGCCTGGTGTATATAAGAGCGTTGAGCTATTTACCCATCCCTCAATACCGGCTATAAGGGTGGTACCGGCCCGTGCTGCTGCTAGCATGGCTCCTGCTGTTACTGTGACCATAACCACCGCTGCTACCACCGTAGTTACCAGAGGCATAACCACTCCCGTAGCCACCGTAGCCGCTGTATCCCATGCCAGCGTACCCGTCATCATAAGCACCTCCATATCCACCAACGCCGTAGGATCCCATGTATCCCCCGCCCATCGATCCCCCGCCGTAGGATCCCACGCCAATACCACCGTAACTTCCACCGTAACTCCCACTGTAGCCACCGTAGTACAAGCCCGCTCCTCGGCTTCCATAGCCACCGCTGCCGGTCCGGTAGGAGGTGCCGTAGCTGCCGCCCAGGGCGTAGTCGCCGTACCCATAGTGGCCACCACCACCGGAGCTTCCGTACCCACCACCACGATTGATTGGGCCATAGCCGCCACCACCACCACTGTCCTGCATTGCCTTCTTTGGCTCTGCTTTCTTAATTTCCACCTGCGAGAACAAAGCGTAAAAACAATGATGTTAGACCATAAAACAAAGAATTTTGAGGAACATCGAGCATCGACGAGGCGCAGGAATATCTCCCGTGGGAGTTTTAAAAGAGAGAGGGGGGATGATATGCCTCCCTGCTGCTGCTGTGCTTGGATCGTTCCATCTAAAAAAACTGGCAAGTGAGAAATTTAATGCCTGGGTTACCTGTTTGCCTCCAAGCTCGTGCATCCTTCCGTGTGAGAGCACGTCTTCGACAGTTTGCTCGCTGTCGAATACTATGAATCCAAAGCCGCGAGATCTCCCGGTGTTGTGATCCTGCATGATTTGGTGCTCGATCACATTGCCAAAGCTGGAGAAGTAAGCCTTGAATTCCTCTGGAAAGAGCAGAAGCAGGCAATGTGAGAACTGAATGTCGCGTCTTGAAGATGGTACCGACCTTCTGTGATGGAGGGTGGAATCCCTCCTACAAAGATCTTCTTTGTCTTTGGACCCTTGACGACAAGCATGCTTTCGCGAGGTATAGATCTCTTGCATTCAACCTGGGAAGTAAAAACCACGCAGATTGGAAAAAAGAAGCTCGCGGTATACAAAGAACTTACAGTCCTGCCGTCCAAAACATGCTTGTCTCGCAACACTCGATCGCAAACATCCGAATCCGCAAACGTTACGAATCCGAAGCCGCGGGGATTCCCACTACTCCGGTCCCTCATGATCACTGCATCCGTGATCTCCCCATACTTTTTGAAGTGACTTTCGAGCTTCTCTGCAACCAACGCAGCTCTCAACCATAAATCCGGAAACCAACATGTGATAAAAAAGAAGAAAACGTCAACAAACCTGTGGTTGTATCCCATGATAGCCCGCCGATGAAAATCTTCCCGTTTCCTCTATCATAGGAAATGGGACGGTTATTAAGTTAGCTATGTCTCAAGACCACTCCTACGCTATATACAAGACACTCGCTAGAGGAAGAACTAAGATCAAACTAGAAGAACCATGAACCAAAGGAAAATCTAGAGCGAAGGAAGGCTGGACCAACAACTAACCCTGCACTGGACGTTCTCTCTGTGTGTCCGTTGGCTGAATCATCTCCATGGGTGTCTACCTGAGCATCTTCGTTGAGCAAATCCCTATGGTGATGGTGCCTGGAATCCCTGGAATCCCCGTCCTGAAACGACGCGAGATCGTCGCCCTGATCCAGTGGCGAATCGGGGCCATCCAGATCGTCGTGAACAGGCTGCTCCGAATCAGAGCCGGCCATGGAGAGAGGAGGAGAGCGAGGCAAGAGACGAGGAACCGGGAAATTCTTGCCTAAAATGTGCGTGAAATTTCCACTCGCTACGATCTGGATTCCTGTTCCAACTGATCTGACCTCGACGCACTACTCAATCCCCTCGTCCCTCCTCCTCCTACAAATCCAAGCAAAATGCCGGCCCGGGGAGCGAAGATCCAAGAGGCCCGCGCGCGCTTGGCGGATGCTTGCTCGCGCCCACGCAAAGAAGGCAAGAAAATGCGTCGCCCTATTCTTCGGATCCCTCACTTCTCGCCAGGCATTTTACCCTTATGACATGCTGGCACTAAAGTATATAAGGTGGCTGTCCACGTCACGCATTTTAGGGTTCTATAGGGGGATGGAGAGCTCTGTGAAGCTGTGGATCGCGAGCGCGCTTCTTCGTCTAGCTTTGATCGCTTACGGCGAGTGGCAAGATTCCCACCTGGAGGTTCCCTATTCCGATGTGGATTACACTGTCTTCTCCGATGCTGCGGCGTTCATGGCGCAAGGGCGATCGCCATTTCTCCGCGATACCTATCGCTACTCGCCGCTGCTGGCAATGCTGCTGCTTCCCAATGTGTGGATCCATCGCTGCTGGGGGAAGATCTTGTTCTCGGTCGCAGGTAGCGTAATCCTCTCCTCTCCTAGCTTGTTCTTGTGCTAATCGATCGACAACAGGCTGAAGCCCTTGGATCGTTGCAGATTTACTGACCGGGAGCTTGATCTATCGCTTGCTGCGGTTGCAAGGAATCGCTGAGGGTGTTGCTATCGCCTGTGCTGCGGTCTTTCTTCTCAATCCTTTCACATTCACGATTGGTACGAGAGGGAACTGCGAGGCGCTGCCATGCGCTGTGGTTCTCTGGACTCTGATCTTGCTTTTGCAAGGTGAGTAGTTTCTTTCTCTTGTAGTTCTTGGTTTTATTCCTCGCCTTTGTTCTTTGGTTGGAGTTCTTTACGTGTTCTTTGCTTGCTTGGAGGTTTTCTTCTTGTCTTGAAACTCTTTGTTCTTATTCCATTCTTTTTTTTTTTCCTTTGTTTTTCCAGGCCGCAACCTCCAAGCCGCATTTTGGTATGGATTGGTCGTCCACTTTCGGATCTATCCCATCATCTACGCGCTGCCTTTCGTCCTCTTCCTCAATGCTAGAGCATCCGAGACAACATCCAAGCAAGCTGCTAGCTCCAAGTCGATGATGATCCTCGCAAAGCTCGTAAGTCGCGACAGTCTCTCCTTCGGTCTAACTTCTGGGGCCGTGTTCCTGGCGCTCACGCTCGCGTCCTACGCGCTCTACGGCCCCAGCTTCCTCAACGAGGCACTGCTCTACCACCTCACTCGCACCGATCCAAGGCACAACTTTTCGATCTACTTTTACTCGATCTATCTCCGCCAGAGCTCGAGCATCACGCTGCTGGACCGCCTCGCCTCCTTCGCCCCGCAGATGCTCGTCCAGACCGTCTTCGCGGCCGCGTATCACGATGATCTCCCGCTGTGTCTCTTCGCCCAGACAGCCGCGTTTGTAGCATTCAACAAGGTAAGTTCCTTGTCACCATTTTTTTCTTCGTTGGTTCGTTGGTTTCTTGTTTCTGAGCTTTGGATTTCGTGTGTAGGTTGTCACAGCCCAATACTTTGTTTGGTTTTTCAGCCTCTTGCCGCTTGTCTTGCCATTCACGGGGCTAAAGTTCTTTTGGGGAGGCTCTTTGTGCATTGGAGTGTGGACATTGTCGCAGCTCCACTGGTTAGCGTGGGCGTATTTGCTGGAATTTAAAGGGAGGAACGTCTTCTTCCAGCTCTGGATCTCCAGCATCGTGTTCTTCGTCGCAAACGTCTTTGTTTTGTCCATGCTCTTGTATCATCACCATAACGCCACGAAGGAACAAAAGCTTAAAGCCATTTAATAGGTGGATGATCGCAAGGTTTTCCCTCTCTTTTTTCTTTTCCCTCTCTCCCTCCATTAGGGCTCCTCGAGTTTTAGGGTTGAGGCTGAGGCGCGAGAGGATGACTGTGGCGAGGGCGAGCAGCGGCGCTTCCGGGGCCAGCGGAGCAGCGGGAGGTATGGCGGCGCCTTCTACTGCTGCTGCGGCTTCCACAATTCCGTCCAGCGCGCGTAAGATGGTCCAGAGCATCAAGGAGATCGCCGTCGAGCGCAGCGACGATGAGATCTATGCGATGCTCAAGGAGTGCGGGATGGACCTCAATGAGGCCGTCCAGCGCCTCTTGAATCAAGGTATGGGACTCGGTTCGTGGGTGACTTTGTGCCAAAACTTGGTTTTTCCTTTTTTGTTTGTATGTAGACACTTTCCATGAAGTCAAGCGGAAGCGCGATAAGAAGAGAGAGGTATGTGGTTCCTTTTGCTTGTCTAAGGTGTCAGTGTGCTGACTCTCTTCTCTAAATGTTTTAGAACAAGGATGGCTCGTCCGATATCAAGCCTGCTAGAGCTCCTAGCTCGTCCGCCAGAGGGGGTCGCTATGGTCGTGGAGGTTCTAGATACGGTACAGGTTTTTCTTTCAGATTTCAGTGTTGTGAGCTCAACCTTTGTCTGTAGAGCCTAGCGGAGGTGGTCGTGGCCGGGGTGCTCCGAGAGAGAATGGATATTATCCTAAGTCTTCCGGCCCTCAAGAGGCTCCACCATCGGCAGTGCCGCCAAAATTGCCGAGTGGTCAAGCAAGGTAGTGCTTTTGCAGGTCTTTTTCAGATAGTTACAGATTTTTTTTTTCTTGTCTGTGCAGCAACCCAACTCCAGCACCGGCAGCGCACAACGAGCAAGCAGCTTACCATCGCCCATCTCTCAGCGGTGGTGCTCGTCCAACTATCGCGGAGATCTTGAAGTCGTCGACAATGCAGACCGTTGTCCAACCTCCTAGGCTTCCAATGAGCAGCGATCCTGTTGCACTTGAGCCTGGGATCACCAAGAGAGACGTTGGTGTGGTTGGAAATCAGCGGTCTTCGAACGAGGTTGACATGGAACCCCCTCTGCCGGGTGACTACGTTTCTGACGAGCAAGCACCACTTCCAGACGGGCATCCTGGAATATCGTCGACTTCTTCTGCAGCCGATTCTTCGCCGCCACCTCGTGCCACGTACTCCAGCAGCAGGCACCAGGCACACCAGGCACCTGTTGGTTCTCAAAAACGTAAGCTCTGATCTTTGCCATGGCTTTCTACTAATCAGTCCGACGTTCCTTTCAGCTGGTGTACTCCAGGAATGGAAAGTAAAGCCGAGTTCTACCGTGCCTTCTGTTGTCGCCGACACCTATACGTCTGATTTTCAGAGGGCTCCGGCTCCAGCTACGACGTCTAAGTTCGAGGACAAGGAGGACCAGTCCGTGATCATACATAACCAGTTTCTCGCTTCTGCAGACCTCAACTTAAATTTTGGGAGCTTAACCTTTGGGTCCGATGAGGATTCTCTAACACACAAGCCGTCTGCAGTGGAGGACGAGCCTGAGGGCATAGAAGAAGAAGAAGAAGAGCCTGATGATCAACCTTCTCCGAGGTTTGCAATCACTTTCCGTTTAATGGATTTACTAATAGAAGTCTGGTGACAGTACTGCTTCAAATCCTGCAGCTCAAAACTACGACCTTCCGCAGACATCTGCGATGGCTGATAGTCTTCCTTCGAACAGCGAAGTGACTGCAGTCAGCATTGCGGTCCCAGCAGTGTCTCATTCGGAGCTCTCGAAACCCGACTCTTCCGTGCAAAGCTCTCATTATCCATACTTGCCAACGGCCTATTCTGGATTCGGATTGATGGCTCAACCTGGAACGCAGTACCCGTACGAGTCATCCGATTCTCAACTTTCGGATGGATCTCGTTTTTCAAGCTTGCATCAGCATTATTCGGATCCAACTGCAAGCTACTACACTCCTGCGTATAGGCCCAACGTCGAGACTGATATGCGGTACCCGCTTATGACATCTAAGGCGGCTGCAGCTAAATACAGCACTAGTATGACATCCGTAGCGTCGTTAGCGTCCTCAGAGGTACAGGGTTTACCTTTTTTTTGTCACTCGCTTCTAACGTTCCATTCACAGAGTGGGAATTCTGGTAGTTCTCTTGCGCAAACATCTCAGCCAACTAGCGGCCAGTCGGTTCCGAGTTTGCCGCACCAGCCTCTGCCACTTCATGCTTATTCGGCGCAGCCAAGTTTGCACCTGGGATACAACATGTTTAACTACCCGTATCTCCATCAAAGTGTTCCCTACATGCACGCGCCGTACCAGCACAGCTTTGCGGGGAATAGTGCGTACCCTCAACCTCCGGCTGGAAGCAACTATCCGCCTACAAACAACTATCCTACTGCCGCTGCCAAGTATCCAATGGCTCAGTACAAGCCCGTCACGGCGACAGCGAGTACAATCCACTCTGCTTCGGCAGCCGGGTACGCCGGGTATACATCCTCTCCGGCCGGCTACGCGACCAACCCGATGGTAACACTCGGCCCAGCCTCTCTAAGTTATGACGAAGCCGCGCTATCGCAGTACAAGGACAGCAATGTTTACATCCAAAGTCAACAGGTGAGTTTGTGGTTGCTTTCGTCGTAGAGATGGAGAGATGGAGTCAGCATTAATTGGTTTGCTAACGTTGGTCTTGCCTTTCAGGGCGAAGGCTTTTCCCGGGAATCTTTCTACAACATTCCGAGTCAAAGCCAATACACTGCGTATGCCCAGCAGCACCACGGACATCCGACGACTGCTTATGGTAGCCTGTACCATCCGACGCAGTCCGTCCCGGCTCCAAACTCTCACCAGATGCTTCAGCAGCCGCAGACTTTGGCCACGGCCGGATCCCAGGGTGCTGCTGCCGCTGCCGCGGCTTATGGCCAGCAGCCTCAACGTGGGTGGAACAATAGCTACTGAGCAACAGGGGGGAGGAGGAGCGCGTTTTCTATGTTCTCCATAACAACAGGTACTCTCTTGGTGTCTCCTGTTGCTGAGGTTTGTATAAGATCACATATAGCGGAAACTGAGTGAAGAGTTGTGGCTCGAAGGGGAAAGTGTATATAACAACAACAGGGCTTTTGCCGGGCTTTTTTTATTGGGGGCTCTTTGGATCAGATCAGATCAGACTTTGAGTAGCGGGTTTTTTTATACTTCTATAGTCTTTCCGGCTAGACGGATGGACACTGGTAAAAATGTTATCCTTTGTACCAGAGTTCCGAGAAGAAAAGCAGTTCTTTCTCTATTTTCTCCGCGAGAGACAACGTCGTTCTGTTTATTACCAAGAGCCAACCAGTATACACAGTTGAGCAGAGGCTCCGAAATTACAACAACCAAAAAAGAGGGGTACTAAGACTTGGGACGAAGAAACACAGTGCTGGAAGATCTTTGATCCATCAACACCGGGAGGCTCGATACTTTTTCTTCTACTAGTACTCGACAACTGGGAGAGAGGTACTTGGTTTTTTTGGATTGGAGAGAGCTGCTGCTGCTACTAAGCCCAATCCCACCAGGAAGCCCAGTTGCCTTGCTCCTCCTCGGCAGCCGTTCCAAACAAGCAGTTGTACGAAGCGTCATCCTCGAGGCCCCGGAGAGCATCGTCGTCGTCGAGCTTGTACGGGAAAGCCACCGGTTCCTCCTTTACCGGAGGAGCTTGTTCTTCGTCCTCCGCTGGATGCTGCGGAGCTAGCGGTGATAATTTGTGAGCTCTGGCCGGTGGTGGCGGCGGCGCTGGCGGTGCTGGATGCGGACTAAACGCGTCCAAGACATCAGAGTTATAGCCGTCGGAGGATGACAGCGGCGACTCCTTGAATTTGGAGGAGACAACCGTGGGAGAGTCTGGAGTGGTACACACCTGATCGTCGACATCCTCCACTACTCCGCTGCTCTTGTTGTTCTTGGCCATGGTGGCGACGAGCAGCAGCGGCTTGGGTGGCTTGTCCGTGGTAGTAGTAGCAGCCGCCGCCGCCGATCCCGAGTCCTCGTCCATATCTTCCTCGTTGCGATCTTCATCATTGTCGTCATCATCTTCATCCGGCTTCTTCTCGTGATTGCCATCCACGAGCTTCTTGTCGCTCAGCTGCGATCACAGCACAGTTCCAAAGTTTTGAGACAACGAACAAAGGAAGGACATCGGTGGTGGTGGTGGTGATGAATCATCAGGAAAACAGACAAGAAAGAACAGTGATGGTGATGAATCATCAGGAAAACAAAGCATCGGTGGTGGTGGTGGTGATGAAGATCATCGACTTACTTGAGCTTTGAGCCGCTTGTTCTCCTCCGCCAGGGACTCGTACGCCGCCTTGAGAACGTCGTAGTCCTTCTCCAATTGCTTCGTCTTCCAGCGGGCTCGCCGGTTCTGGAACCACACCGCGACTTGCCGGGGCTGCAGCCCGAGCTCCTGCGCCAGCTGCATCTTCCGCACGGGCTCCAGCCGGTTCTCGGTCTCAAAGCTCAGCTCCAGGGACCGGACTTGCTCCACGCTCAGCCGCCGCTTCTTCTCCGGGAATCCTCCGCCGCCGCTCGACCCGCCGCCGCCGCCGGTGCTGCCATCATCCGCGACCTCCCCGTCGCCGGTCTCGTCCAGCGAATCCAACATTGTAGGGTAGAGGGGCCGCTTGGAAGTCAGTGGCGGTGCTGGTGGAGGCGGTGGCGGTGGTGGCGAAGCCGAGCTATGGTGGTGGTGGTGGTGCAGGCCTCCCACTGCTGGAGAAGAAAAGAACTTTTGGTTAGAGAGAGATAAGAACCATCGCCGGCATCGACAGCAAGAAGACCACCACCAACAAACATTTGGTGGCAATCAATTGCGATCGACGAGCAATCCGGAAGGGGGCGACGAACGAGATCTCCAGGGACAGCGTAAAAACGAAGAGATCTCTTTCAACAGGAGGGAGAGCAAGAGAGAGACTTCTAGCGATGGGAACTTTTACCTCCTCGAAGCCCGAGCATCGCCACCAAGCTGGAGCTTTCGCCGCTGCCATGCTGCTGCTCAATTGCTCCGCTTTTCAGCATCGCCGCTGCGGCGGTGGAGGAGTGATCGCTCCAAGCTGCCATTTTGATCCGGCCGGGTGCTGGGGGAGCGGGAGTTTAGCTTTCTGAGAGGAGACGGGGACGCGAGATTTTCAGGGAGACCGACACGAGGGCGACGACGATCTGTGGAGCCAGAAGCTAGAATCACCACCAACAACAAGAGCAAATTGTCAACCAAGGGAACGATCGAAGGACAGCGAAGAAAAAAAAAAGAGAGATTTTTGGAACGAAACGATCGGGGATCAAAGGCCAGAGTTTCTCATTCCCTCCCAACTAGCGACCAGAAGTGGAAGAACAGTGAAGAGAGAAGACGAAGAACAAGGAGAGGAAGAACAAAGAGGAGATTTCCAGATGGCGGGTGTTAGCTGGGAGGGAAGTAGCGGGCGAACCAGCAGAGCAATCGACCAATGTCTTGGACGAGCGAGCAGCCATAGACTGACGAATCTAGCAGCAGTGAGCGGCCAAAGTCATCGTGTCGGGGCAGCAGCATCATATACCAAAAAGGAGGATTTTTGGCAAAGGAGGAGACAACGAGAGAGCGCACAAGAAATCGATGGCTACTTCATCGGACTCGAGAGAATCAAAGACGTGGGAAGAAGGGCAATTCAAGGGCGAGCTTTTAAGTTAGCTACCCGGCGGCATCGTCATCGTCGCTGCTCTTGCTCGTCTTCATTCAGGAAATCCGTGATTGACGCCCAAAAATTCTCTGTGTCTCTCTCTCTCGCTTTGAATCGCTCCAGAGAAAATCGCTCGCTAGGCTTTTGGCTCTTGAAGAAGAAAGAATTCCAAGAATGTGGATGGCCATAGCATCGTCCATGCACATACATGGCATGGATGGCATGGCTTTCCTAAAATAGTACTGGCGCGTTGGACGGTCTCGAACCCCGGTCTCGAACCCCGGATAGGTAGGGTGGTTTTGGTTTCTAGTGATTATTTAGGGCTAGGTTTAAGCAAGGCGCGCGCGACGAGAGGGAGGAGGAGGCGACGAGCGATGGAGCGGCGCTTTTCTCAGGTCAGAGAGCGTCAAAATCTCGGCATTGTCTGGGATTCACACAAAGAGAGCGAGCGAGCTACATTTCCTGTTTGTAGTGTTCTTCCCTTTTTTTTTCGTTTTTTGGCGCTGGCGCCCTCCCGTTCGTCGTCGTCTGCTGATCCCACAGTTGAGTCTCCAGAGTTTGCGTGCTTTTGCAAGAAAAGGGATGCGTGGCCGTGTTGGCCGTGGGGAAAATTGAAGTCTATTCGCTCCACGAAGGGATGAGAGAAAAAAAAAACTATATTTGTTTTCGGTTGTTTTTTTCGGTTTTTGGACTTTTGGAATTCTTTTTTTCTCTGGCTCATCTGGTTCCTGGCTGCTACAGATTGATGACAGTCGATTCGGTTCGCTGCAATGTGGGTGAAAATTCAACCTGTTTGTATCTGTGGGGATTCGATCACAGTTTTTAGTGGAGTAGTAGCTAGCAGCAGCAGAGCAGGAAAAACAAAGAGATGGATTGGATTTATTAGCTGGCGAGCTTGGATTTGGGAGGAATTCGACACAAGAGCAGAAAGAGTAGAAATGGAAAAGTCCACCACCACTTTGAGCATCTCCTAAGCCCGTAGCTACTTCACGAAACTCCACCACCATGACCACCACGACCACCAGCAAAGCGAAGCGCGCAGAAACCAACAAAAGAGGCCACCAGCAGATAGTTAGTGCACTCAGGACCACACTGTAAGTGGCCTCTTTCTCTCTTTTCTTTTCTTACTTTTGTTTTTCTTTCAGCTTGTCAGCGGGTCTCTCGACTTCCCTTTCTTCCTCCTAAGTTACCAGCCGCGCCAGTGTAATCAAGAAGCGAGGGTGAGAGAGGGAAGCAGTGCAGCGATAGAGGCGAAATCGTGTGACCGCGACACTGCCTCTCCGTTTGGTGGCGCCCCCGAAAGTGAGAGTTTGTATGGCTGGTGCTGTGGCTAGCGCTGGCCGGTGGCTGGCTTTTGAAAGTTTGGAAGATCTGGAATCCTCGCTGCTGCTGCGACCGCCACTGCTTCGTATCTCGGATCGTCGACACAGGAAAGTGGGATCTTACGACCGAGGGAAAAGCGAAAGCACCGGAAGTTGATGAAGCCCGGGAAGGAGTTATGGCGGGATGGATACGTGGTTAAAACAAGTTAACCGGAAGAGTACAAAAGCCGAAACAGGGATTGAACAGGTCGGTCCCCAGTGAAAGCTGCCCGCGCGGCCTTTTGTCCGCTTGGACGTTTTGTCTTTGCTGTGGGGCCTTCCGAGCAATGGCTGCTGCCGCGCAGTTTGTGGTGGTGGTCACTGGTAGACACTCAATCGCTTGCGGTTTGTAGCGAGGACGATGATGATCAGCGCAAGGAGCCCATTTGACAAAACTGGCCAATCATTCCCGCGCACGCACACCTCTGGTAAGCTTTTTCTTTGTTTTCTTCTCCTTTTTTTTATGATTTTGTTCTTCCGTATTCTCATCTCAGTGTTTTGTTTTTTTTTTTCCCTCTGTTTTACACTTTTCTTGTTTGTTTTTGTCATTGGCATGCACACTTCCACCGGTTCTTTAGGCAGTGTGATAGAATTGGCGCCTGCAAATCTTGGGATCCTCGAAAAGGATGTTGAGTATCCGTTTCCTTATTTTATGAGCTTAACGCAACGCAGCACTGCAAAACGCAAAACGCAAACGCAGGAAAGAGAGCTCGACTCGTGAGGTGCGCATTTCTTACAGTTTTTTCCTCGGCGTTTAAGGATTAAAGAAAATGAGATCTTGACCTTCAAACCTGCAGGAAGGACACCCCGGAGTTTGTGTAACTTCTTCTACACATAATCTATTTTCAAAGTGATATCACATCACGTGGATCTAATAAACAACACAATATCAGGAGTACTCGAGTGTGCCAAGACCAACCCGGGCAAGCTACAAAACAGGTAGTCCTTTCGTCTCCATTGTTTTATTTTTTTACATCCGTGCTCGTTCACTCCGTAGAAACCCAACAGAAACCAATTTTGGAGAACAGATTCGCAAGTTGCAGCTGCGCGACAAGGTGAATTCAATACGCGTGCATCGCTCCTTCCTTTGTCTGGCCAGCTTTCCTTTTGTATATATCGCAATTGTCTCTGTTTTGGAATTGCTTGCTTGAAGAACCGAGTCCTTCTGACACACATTAAACTTTGGCAAATGTTTTCTCTTTTTTCTAACAGTCGGGGTGGCCTTCAGGACCATCTGTGTGGCGTCCACGGGCGATCGATGTCTGACAACGAAAGAAAAAGAGAAAAGAAATGGAGAAGCAGACAACATTGAAAAGTTGGACCATTGAGAAAAATTCCCTATGGCGAATGCACGCAAGCTGTAAGTAAATATTCGCTTTCCTACTTTTCCCCTTTGTTTTTCTAACAGATGCCTCGCCTTTACTGCAGATTCGGGTTGGTCTCCGTGAAAAAACGAAGTCCGTATGGATGCGAGAAGAGAACGATCGCCAGATTCACTGCTCCCTCGCTTCCTTGGAAACTCTCGCTTTGCATCACAAACTACGATAAATTCTGTGGAAACTCGAAGTAACTCGAGAGGTAAGAAGCTTTGCGATTGAAAACCTAGACTTTGGACTTTCACTTCGCTTCGAGAAGCCATACAAAAAAAGAAAGGAGGAAAAGCCAAGAACAAACTGCACGGCTTTGCGTGGGCCATTTTACATCTTACACCTTGTCAAAAAGCTGCAAAAGCAAATTCACAGTGGTGGGAGATATCTTTGCTTCTCCACACTCCTGGAGTAAAAAAGCGGAATTTTCCATGAAAATCCTATGTTTTCTCCCGTCAATGTACCTTTTCAGTGGAATCTGTGTGATGAAAAGAAAAGCTGCCTTCCACTCAATCTCTCTTAACTCCGCCAGTACGTTTAACAAAACCTAAAAAGTTCTGCCCTAAGTCAATGCATTGTCAACGGTCAGCTGCTTTTGTGTGATGCCAGGTGGCACTTTCAAATCCACAAGCTTTTAGGGTTTATGCGCGACGCGAGCGAGCGAGCATGGCAGCGGCGGCAGCAGGCGCGGCAGTCTCCGCAGAGCCAGGTCCGCTATGCTCCCAATTCTCCTACATTTCTAGCACAGCGAGCGCCGCAAGGTCGGTGCTGCCGCTGCTCGCGCCAAGAATTTCGATCGCGCCCGTTCAGGAACTCGAATGCAGGCCTAGCTCCTGCCTCCGGTAAGCTGGAATTGGTAGCCGTGGTGAAATTCTCGCGAATTGATTCTTCCCATGTAGCGCGAGTAGATGTCGTGTCGTCCCTAGAGCCAAATCCAGTGTGGACAGTGACGAGCAGCTCACTGTTGAGGTTCTTGGAGATGAGGGATACACGTTTGATCCATCCAGCGTTTCTTTCTCCACTGGTAAGCTATACCTTCCAAACTCTTTCTTTTCTTCCTGTTTACATCTTTTTAATCTCGTTGTGTTTTGGAAATTCAAGAGCGCTGGGAGGAGCTTGATACGGATGTTCTCGAGATTATAGATTCCTCCTCCACGAATACTCCTCCTGTTGTTGCGGTCTCGTTGCGGTCTCCTCTCGTCCCGTGGCGCTCGATTTTCCGAGGTGGTATCGAGAACTTGACAACGCAGGTGAAAGAGGCAGTCGAGAAGACTAGATCACAAGGACACAACTGGGCGCGGAACAGCAAAGTGGCTCAAGTTCTTCACAGTGATAAGAAAGTTATCTCCAAATGGACGATGGAAACAGCTCTTACTGTAATCTCGGAAGCGCTTTTCCTGACGAGTTCTGCGGATTCATCGACGGCTCCTGCAGAGAAACCAGTGTGGCAGGCACCTTCGTATCGTGGTACTATACTTTTATTTTCACTGATGTCTCTTTTTGTGAGTTTTCTTTAGTATTATCTGTACAGGGCTATCCGGTTGGGACCTTGTCGCTGCTGATATCGCAACCATAAGACAGTATTTTGACAACGTAAAAATGCAGCTAGCTATCTGGAAGCTACCGCTGCAAGAAGCTTATGATCCTGAAGATCTCGCCGTCTATTTCAATGCAAGACCACATCTCTTGCTGTTCCGGGCTCTCGAGGTAATACCCCTTATTTTTTACTGTAAAGCTCATTATTTTCTGTTCAGGTTTCTGCAGCATTTAGCTATCTCTTCGTATGGTACATGTTCGAAAAGAGCATCACGCCGTTGACAAAAAGAGAGCCGTCTTCTGAAGAGGAGAACAAAAAAATGATGATGAAAACGGCTGAAATGTTTAAGCAAACTGTTTTGAGGCTTGGCCCGACTTTCACAAAAGGTACTTTCCTGTTGATTATGTTAATGCTTTCTACTAAATCTTCTTGTTAAACTAGTTGCTCAGTCGTTGTCAACAAGATCAGACTTGATAGGCCCGGAAACTGCACAGGTACATATACGCACGCAGATAAGTTCGTCTGCTAGCTAATAAAATTCATAGAGCAGGTTTTGGGAGATCTACAAGATCGTCTGCCACCGTTTCCTAATGAAATGGCTTTGCTTCTAATAGAGCAAGAGCTTGGCCGCCCGATAAGCGAAGTGTTCTCCTATATATCGGAAGAACCCGTGGCAGCCGCTTCCCTTGGACAGGTCTGCTATTTCTGGTGGCATAATAGTTTTCATTTCATGAAAATATCAGGTCTATAGAGGACGAACGAGGGACGGACAGGACGTGGCTGTGAAGGTTCAAAGGCCAAACATTTTTTATTCCGTCGCACGTGATGTTTATATCCTTCGCCTTGGGGTAAGCATATCGGTGCTGTTTTCTGGATTGTAGCTGATTGTAGCACTCCTGCAGCTGGGGCTGGTACGTAAGGTTGCGGGCATTAACAGTGATTTATCGGTTTTCGCTGACGAAGTTGGGAAGGGCCTGTACGGTGAATTGGACTACAGGCTTGAAGCACAGAACGCGTCTGCGTTTGCAGTGAGTGTGCAAATTTTCTTCTTCTCCTTTACACCTTGCTAATATTCATGCAATCCAGGTGGCGCTTACACCAAAGTTACCCTTCGTTGTGGTTCCAAGAGTCTTGCGTCACTTGACGACAAAGAAAGTGATGACAATGGAATGGATATCGGGTACGCGTCCAGTGGACCTTCGTAGAGTTGCGAAAGGACAGGACACTGGGGCTACTCTAGAGCTTCGACGGGAAGCCACAGACCGTCTCTTGGAAATGGTAAAAGAAATGGATTGTAATGTCATGCACTGGTTTCTAAAGTCTTGTGCAGGTTAACAAGGGCGTGCAATCTTCTTTGACGCAGCTGCTTGATGTTGGTATATTGCATGCCGATCCACATCCTGGAAATATTATCTATACTTCGGACAACAGTATTGCGTACGAAATGTTTTAATATCTATTCACTGTGCATTCACTTTCAATTGCAGGTACCTTGATTTTGGACTGATTTGTCGAATGGAGAAAAAACATCAATACGCTATGATTGCGGCCACTGCCCATCTTGTGAACGGGGATTGGAGTTTTTTAGTCGATGATTTGGCTGAAATGGACGTGGTGAAGCCTGGGACTAACCGGTTCCGGCTGAGATTGGTAAATATCCAAGGTTTGTTTTGCATATTGTTATTCACATTTTCTTTCGTTGCAGGCTCTCGAAGATTCGTTAAATGGATTCGTTGTTAAGAATGGTTTACCAGATTTCAAGTTCAGTCAGGTCTGATTTTTACGTAAATGTAATCGTTCATCTTATGCTTCGTCTTTCAGATTATAGCAAAATTGTTCGGTGTAGCTTTAAAGTTTCGGTTTCGTCTGCCAGCATACTATACTCTAATACTGCGCTCGATTGCTTCGCTAGAAGGTACGTTATCATCCATTACAGGAATGTCATACTAAAAATTTCATCTCTGCAGGAATGGCCCTGGCAGTCGACCCGAACTTTAAGGTTTTTACGAGAACATACCCGTTCGTGGTCAATCGTCTTCTTTCAGATAATTCGGCTCCTATGAGACGAATCTTGCGAACGGTAATTTTCTTTGGAAAACTCTTGAGTCTGACGGTGAAAATCTCGCTTGTACACAGCTGCTTCTTACAAATAAAAAGGAGTTCCGTTGGAATCGTGTTGCATCTTTGATAAGCATTACTTCCACCGAGTAAGCAACCAATCGCAAAAGAATCCAACTCTTAGTTCACTTGTTTATCCTTTCTAGGCCGGCCGCATCGAATGCCACGACGAGTCTGGAGCCCACACTGTGCAAGCTTCTTCTGTCAAGCAACGGCGCCTCACTACGTCGGATCATCTTGGAAGCGGTTCGTAGTTTCACTTCTTTTCTCTCCAAGAATTAAACCTTCTGAGTTTTACAGGACACGAAATCACTGGCCCGCGCATTCGTCTCCAAGGAGGCGGCACCGGTGAGACTAAAGGTGGCCAAGCTTCTCGCCGACGCGTTTTACCTGCACGGCAAGAAGCTCTTGCAAGAGCACGCGAGCGTCGAGATCGACGAGCGATCCAAATTGTCGTCTCCCATTGCAAGCACCAGGCAGCTGCAGTTTCTTCTGAGAGCACTCGTGGCGAGGCTGCAAAAGACTCCCCTACTCCTGCTAAGAGCCGGATGGACAACGGCGACGGTCATGGGCTGGGCTCTAGCCGCGGCCTTCCATCGACTGGCGGTGGGCATGAGCTACACATACCTGGAACCAGCCCCGAGTACCCGCGCTGCAACAGCATAAGAAGAGGCTGAGCGGGCTTATTATTTGTACTAGTAATTGCTGGGCGGTTGGCAAAGTTTTCCACCATAGGAATTATGTCAGCGTACATAAGAGCGCATGCAAGACTTTACCAAAATGGGTCCACGCTTGATCTTCTTCCAGAGAGTTTTTCTCCATCGGGGACAACATATGCTTGGAAACTGAGTAAAAAGGAACTTCCAGCGAGGAGACCAGTGCGTTTCAAGGTGGCCTCCAAAGATGAGTATCATGTCAAGTCCAAGCTACTTTAGTCACAAATCACAATATCAAATGTCACTAAAAGAACAAACATCAGAGGAGTGAAGTTCTGATCGTCGGCCCCGGGGGGGATGCAGTCTAAAGAGCCGACAGAAACAAAACCGTCTATCGCCGTCCAGCGCCCGCCATGAGATCCATGCCTGCGCCTGTCTAAATCCATCGCCACTTGATCGCTTAGCATCCTTGATCTTGTCCCAAGAAAAATGGCCTAAAGTTTCAAGGGCGTGTGAAAAAGCCCTATAGATCACTTCGCCTCTGGGAGTGGCTGGGAAGATGATGTAGTGATCATAGAATCTGTTGCAAGGTGAGAATTTTCTGTGTTCTTCTCACTTAAAAGATGGAGGCCTTATGGCGCTCAAGGTATGTGTTGAATTTCTTTCTCTCTAATTTTCTTTTTTCTTTTCTCTCTCTTTTGTTGTGTACAGCCGAGGGGGGAAGGCCCTACGGCGCTCAAGGTGTTGTTGAATTTCTTTCCTTTGATTTTTCTCTAATTTTGCTTTTTGTTTTTGTTTTTCAGCCGAATCGGGAAAACCTAGGGAAGCTTACCATTGAACCTTCAGATGCATATACTATCTTTGTTACCAGTCGAAGACATAGTGTGGTCGCATTTGGTTTGCAAACAATGGGATTCTCTGCTAAATGATCCACATTTCAAAGCATTATGGGCCCGAAACAGCCGCTACAGAACACCTACTTTCGTATTGCTGCAGGAAGGAACTAACACAGAACTTTTAAAACAGCGAACTCGCTACTACAAATATCCTTCAGGGCCTTACAGGTTGCAAGATTTACCTCGGGGTTGGGACTCCTGGCTTACACCGGAAGGTTCAGAACTATTCTTGTCCGCAGGTGGCCTGGTCGTATGCATCATCGAGGAGAATTACGAGACACGTTTCTTCGTTGGGAACCCGCTAACGCAACAATGGGTGACCGTACCTGCACTTAAAACTTCAGCACAGTGTCGCCGGTCGTTCATGCTGATCCCGTACATGAGTGAAGGTTTGATGTTCTTCAGGATGGCGATTGACCCATATTTGTTCGACTCCAAAGTGGGGATTTGGACATTTCCTCCCTATCAAACCATGTGGACGTTGTCCTCCAACACGTTGCACATACAAGGAGTGCAATACGGTCTTGGGATTTGTCAGCAGCACAGTGCAGTTGTGCTGCTGGAGATTGATGATCTGGGAGCTCTTAGCGAATCGAAGTGGCTGTGGGCCTGGGACGTGGGTACAATTCCGTCTTTGTCTTACTCGTACATGCTCGAAATTGGCGGTGAGATTGGGATACTCGTTGCAACGATGGATTGGGAGGTCGTGGTTTTGGTGCTGGACAGGAAGAGTGGTAAAGAATGGAGCTGGAGGAAAGTCTCAGCATTACCCAAACACTTCTACAGGCACTTGCACGACTGGGTGCCTTTGTTTGACAGCAGGACATGTTGTACACATGGCAATCTTACGTTCTTGTGTGTAGGGATGCAGGTTCTGGTATTTGATTCCCAACGCATGACATGGGAGCTGGTTGGGAAACGTTTGTTGCGTACAATGGAGCTGCTTGTTTGGGTGCCCGACTTCACAGCTGTCCCAAATGTTAACACGCCCAGCGAGAAGTTGAAGCAAAGTTGTGCCAGCAAATATCCAGGGGGCAGCTTTCATATTACACCTGGAACGTTCTCAGGTGAAGAGAAGAGTTCCCTATATACATGTGCGGTTATTGATTTGTACTTGGTCGAATTTTCTAGAGGTGGAGGCTCTTTCAAAGCGTGGGATGCCATGGCAACAGATTGGAGAGGTCGCACTTGATCGGAACAAAGGTAACCGTACCATTTTATTCTGTGTGATTTCCTTGTTGACAAAGTGTTTGGGCAGCGGTATTTATGCTACATTTGATTGCTTAAATGGGGTTCTTTAATTTGAGAAAACCGCGCTGAGATCTTTTCTAGAGCTGGAGGCTCTTTCAATGGCAACAGATTGGAGAGGTCGCGGTTGATCGGAACAAAGGTAACCGTAGCATTTTCTTGTGTGTGATTTCCTTGTTAACAAAGTGTTTGGGCAGCGGTATTTAGGTTATATTTGATTGCTAAATTGGTTCTTTAAATTATTATTATGCTTTATTTTGTTAAAGTGGAACTTTTCATTATCCCACTTATGGTGTGTGGCCACATGCCATTTTTATAACAACAATAAAAAATTGAAGTTTTAGCTTTATAATTTATAGATTAAAAACTTTTCATATGATTTTGTGTTATAATATTGTGAAATATAAAAAATAAATTAAAAAACTGATAGAAATATTAATAAATATTAATTAAGTACTAGGAAATGCACATGCTAATTAATGTCCCACTTTACTGAATAAGTTCCACTTTAACAAAATAAAGCATTATTTGAGAAAACCAGCATAAGCGCTGAGATCTTTGTGCCATAATGATCATAGCAAAATTATTTGCTGTAGCTTTGAAGTTTTGGTTTTGTCTGCCAGCATACTATACTCTAATACTGTGCTCATTTGCTTTGTTAGAAGGTACTTTATCATCCGTTACAGGAAATTCATTCCATCTCTGCAGGAATAGCACCAGCAACTTTAAGTTTTTTAAGAAAACATACACGTTCATGGTCAATCGTCTTCTTTCAAATAGTTGGAGACGAATCTTGTGAACAGTAACTTGCTTTAGTCTGACGGTGAAAATGTTGTGCACAGCTGCTTCTTACAAATAAAAAGGTTCCACCCAATCGCTTAAAAGAATCTGTCCACTCTTCAAGCAATGGCTTGGAAGCGGTTTGTAGTTTCATTTCTTCTCTCCAAACTTACCTTTTGAATTTACAGATCACTAGCCGTCTAGGCACCAGACCAAAGGTGGCCCAGCTTCTCATGGATGCGTTTTACCTGCACGGCAAGAAGCTGCACGCGAGCGGAGCAATCAAAATTGTCGTCTCCCATTGCAGGTAGCTGGAGTGCTCAAGAGGCTGCGAAAGACTCCTCTACTCCTGCTAAGAGCCGGATGGACAACTGGGCAGCAGTGGCCACGACTGGAACAAGCCCCGAATATCCGTGCTGAAACAGCACAACAGATGGTTGATGATTGCAAACCTTCGAAACCATTATTCAAGATTTTTAGGTCTGAAGAACCTCAAGAGCATAGTTTAGGTGTTTTTATTTTGTTATTTTAACATTAGTATTAGAGATGCAATGGTGGACCAAGATAAATGTTAAAAGCCTAATGTAGATGGTGGCTAATGGAGATGTAGAGATTTGAATTATCCATGAAATTGTTTATGTCCTTAATAAAAATTAGCAATAGATGCTAAAAGAGATTCATGGCATGATAATTGCTATACATGGGCATGTTAGTAATGCTCCAAATAAAAGATCAAACTTAAATTTTTCTAATGATGGTAGAATGTCAACTTGGTTAACAAATGTGAAAAAGTTCTTAGCTGCTAAAGGAATCCTAAATGTAAAAGATTTAGTAATTATTCCAGTGGTTTTACATGATTCATATGAGAATATCCCAAAAGAATCACCATCTTCTCGAAAGTGAACCCAGCGTGACTCGAACACGCAACCTTCTGATCTGGAGTCAGACGCGCTACCGTTGCGCCATGGATCCCTCTCACGTGGAAGAACAGAATATTCTCATGGCAAACAGATTTTAGGTCTATCTTAAACTGATTTTTTAATGGTAAAATTGTTAAGGATCTATATCTACTATAGATAAGTTTAAAGTTACTTTTCATTTACATTTTACCCCTCAAAACTACTTGCATAGAATGGGAAAATTGAGGGGTAGGATGTTGAAAGGAAGAAAGATTGAGCAATTTCTAATTGTGAAAATATTGCAAAGACTTTAACAAGGATTTAGCATATTCAATACTTGTGCACAAGCACTAGTTTTGCGATAGCACGTTTCTCAAATAATAATTTTAAAGAACCTTATTTAAGAAATCAAATGTAGTGTAAATACACCCAAACACTTTGTCACCAAGGAAATCACACACAAGAAACTGCTACGGTTACCTTTGTCTGTGACCTCCCCAATCTGTTGCCATGCCATCCCACGCTTTGAAAGAGCCTCCACCTCAATGAGAGAGAGAGAGAGAGGGAGAGAGAGAGAGAGAGAGAGAGAGAGAGAGAGAGAGAGAACACTTCTCCATCACCTGAGAACATTCCATAGCCGGCATCAAAGCTGCCCCCTTCAACTTCTCGCTGGGCGTGTTAACATTTGGGACGGCTGCGAAGTCAGGCACCCACACAAGCAGCCCCATTGTACACAACAAACATTTCCCAAGCTCCCATGTCATGCGTTGGGATTCAAATACCACAACCTGCATCCCTACGCATAAAAACGTGAGATTGCCATGTGTACAGCATGTCCTGCTGTCAAACAAAGACACAAAGCTGCTCTCCTTGTGGAAGTGTTTGTCGAAGTGTTTGGATAATGTTGAGACTTTCCTCCAGCCCCATTCTTTACCACTCTTCCTGTCCAGCACCAGAACCACGACCTCCCAATCCCTCGTTGCAGCGAGTAACTTAATCTCACCGCCAATTTCGAGCATGTACGGGCTAGACAAAGACGGAAGTGTGTCCATGTCCCAGGCCCACAACCACTTCGATTCGCTAAGAGCTTCCAGATCATCAATCTCCAGCAGCACAACTGCACTGTGCTGCTTACAACACCCAATTGCACTCCTTGTATGTGCAATGTGTTGGAGGAGAACGTCCAGATGGTTTGATAGGGAGGAAGTGTCCAAATCCCCACTTTGGAGTCGAACAAATATGGGTCAATTGCAATCCTGAAGAACATCGAACCTTTGTTGAATCCTTTCGGTGCCTGCATGAGGCTCCTGCACAAGCTTGTGGAGGAGCTGCCAAATTTTATGTTGAATTTGCATGGGAGAACTCCACCAAGTTTCATGGGGTGGAGACTTGCGATTATGGGAAGTCCCTCCAAAAGCCGGACCATTCTACGCTACCTTCATTCAATTCAAGGATAGTCCATACAAGAAGCATCAACAAAGAAACAAAGACTTTCCCTTCCATTCCAGTATGGACACTCACAAGCACGGAGGCAATCGTCTGGAGAAGAAGAGAGTCCAAGTCTGCGCGTGGCAAGACGCAATTGCAAAGCAGTTGTTCCCGCAAAGAGCCGTCTATGCTTGCCAGTATCCCACAAGGACCAGCCTTTGGCCGTTTCGCATCCTCTCTGCCTTATGATGCACTATGGTGATTTTCATTATTAAATTATTATTACATGTTTTGACTATGGTTTACTTTTTAATAGAATATTCCTACTTTTAAATGGTTCTTAGAAGAAAGTAGTAAACACAAAGTTGTCACAACTTACTTTATTCTGGAAAACCTCTCCAAACTTGGTTTTTGACTATCTATCATTTTAAGCACCAAAATATTAGGAAGGGAAAGAACATTCACCTTTTGGATTTGCCTCCAAAAGCTCTTGAATTAGATTTAATTAACTTATTTATTAGATTTAGAACAAAAGTTTTATCATGGAGAGGTTATATAAGCTGAAGCCATTAACATTTGGAGTCTGAAATTCTCTACCCACACTTCTAGAATCCAATACCTTAAAATGTTATAAGTATTTTAAGCAATTTGGAGCTCAAGATCAAAATCATGACTAACAAATTAAGGAATTGATTGCTTTTAAAAGATTACACTAAAAAATTCATGAAGTGTCTATTTTCTGAGTCTGGCAAAGTTGCCCATTACCTTTTTAGCATTTATTTTACCATAAATTTTACTATTGTATGCATGTATTTGTTTATAATCCTAAAAGAAAGCAATTGACAAAACCATTAAAAAATAGACACAACACCATAAAAAGAGATAGAAATAGCATTGTCCACCTATGCCTTAAAGTTAAGACTTTCAAGTGGTGTTTCCTCTTCTAGGAAAATTAGGCTCTCTATTTAGCATCATGCTCATTTTGCAATTCCATAGGCTCATTTTTTAAATTTTTTTTGATGTAGTTTTTAAATATAAAGTCACATCTAACCAAAATGTCCCTTGACACTTAGCCCATTAGCAACTATAGATACCTGTTTTAATAGTTATCAAAAGTGGCTCCTCTATTCTGTCTCAAAATCTCACAATGACTTATTCACTAATTATGTATTCATAAAATCTATTTAATTGTAAAGCTATTTCTAAATATAAAGGATATATGAGTTGATATCTACTTACTTCATCGAAATCTTTGCATATGACAATTATACATTACTCTTTCTAAATGTACATAAGTTATTATTAGAATCTAAATTACATCTCAATGCTCAAGAATAACAAATATTATAAACAAAATAATATTATTGTTATAAGTGTATGGAATATGGAAATGGAATACAGAAATATGCATATTAATTAGCCCAAAAACCTAGTTTATATATAAAAGCGAGTGGTCCAAGGGATGATGTGAGGTTCAAATATACAATTACACTACCATATACTAATATTCACATAGTGGGATTTTGGTAGTTATCAGATTGGTTTCAATCTTAGAATGATGGAAGACAACCAAGGTTTTCTTGTGGATGGGCCGGGATTTAGAGAAACATCAAAAGGTGACATCGATGAATTTATAGGTGGTGCTAATTGTTCTTAATCTCTTTGTATGAAGCATTTTAACTATAGCATATACACAATTTCTAGAGAATTAATTTGTTAGACATCTTATTGAACCTCATAAATTTGCAGTCCAACTTGCCGTAACATCTAATATGGTCCCTTCCACTGAGCAAAAATCCCCTTAAATAAACTATGTACCATAATATTGGGAAAACAAATTAACACCAAGTCATCCATTTTGTACTTCATAGGTGAACAATAATGGGAGTTGTAGTGTTGTTGTTGTCCCACTTATACATGGCCTAAGTGTTTGGCAAACTCTACTTAGGTAAGTGGAAGAATGGTTATCAAATACTAATCCCAAGACCTAGCATCGGTAGTCATGACAATCACAAAAGTAAACTCAATTCCATTGGTAGTATCAAATCATGACTATATAAGAGTTTATATAGTAAAGCATCAACAAAACTTTACATCCATGTGATATATGCATATTAAAGAGATAGTAAGTTACCATCTCAATCCGAATGTTGAAAATTCACATACTTAATAATCATCCTTTTGAAGGTCCAAACGAGTCATTCCACCAAATCATTTGATTATGAATAATAAACACTCATGAAAATGTGGTATATCCCTAATTGAGACATTAAGACATGAAATGCCTCAACTATAAATATAAAACCATTATCTAAAAGAATTTTCTCTAGACAGGAATATTGAAACACCACTCGATTGAGGAGAAAGTATTCAATAGCAATTGCAGATGCACTAGCAAGAGCACCAACTTCTACCTAACAAGTCAAGCAGTTAGAAAAAATAATGATATACTCATTACCAACAATCGACTATGGAAAATGCCCCGTCAAATCAAACGCCACCAACTCAGACAAATAAGAAATTGCAATTAACTTCAATTGTCCTTTTGTAGCATGAAGGGGAATACTACGAGCTTAGTGCTGTAAGGAACCAACTCCCCGATATGTCAAAGGCTAAAGGATCACCGACCAAAATGATAAAGAGTTCATCAGATGAAATCGAGTCCGAGATCAAGTCCATAACCAGCTTTAAAACCGAGTTTGAGACCGAGTCCAAGATCGAGTCTGAGACCGACTCCGAGACCGAGTTCAAGACCGAGTCTGAGACCGAGTTCAAGACCAAGTCCGAGATCCGAGATTGGGTCCGCGACCGAGTCCGAGATTGAGTCCGAGACAGAGTTTGAGGTCGGGTCCGAGATAGAGTCCGAGATCGAATTCGAAACCAACTCCAAGACCGAGTCTGAGACCGAATTCGAGACCGAGTTCAAGACTAAATCCAAATACTAATATAAATCGTGGGGTGAAAGCCTAAAACGTGTCTCCCTG